GCTCTTCGCTTTTCCTGCAGGCAACAGGTTGCCTTTTGGGTGTTTGTGTGTTTCCCTTTGGATGTTAGGGTTTGTAAAGCAGGCGGGTCTTACCCATGCCTTCTGTATGTCCTCTTCACCCCTTTTCTTTTTGTGCCAGACTATAACATTTTTCTATATGTAACACTTAAGTTTCCCATGGGAGTAAGAATTCTTTTCTTAGTACTTAAATATTTTTTGAATAAAGTTTAAATGCCAAAATAAACTAGCATAGTGCTGATTAGTCAGAAAAAGCTCTAGAAAGCTTGTTGGTAGTAGCATACTTTAACGGAGATAGCTTTGTTGGGAGTGATAGCAAGACATATTTCTGCTTCCAGATCTGTGCTGTTAAAGCCATGTGATTATGGGATGATTGGGCTTTTAATGGGAAATGAGTAACAACTTGAATCAGAAGAAATGCTGCCATTATGTAATATATAAGCAATCTGAGAATATTGACTTAGTCTTCAATTTTTTAAGTTGCTGTTCTGATGAATAACTTTGTCCAACTTTCTTCTTTTTGGGGGTGGGGGCAGTGCCAGAACAAACAAAGACAAGTGTAAGCCAGCCTCAGCCTGTCACCTCTAACGGCACTTCCACAGTAACCAGCACTAATAATAATGCCAAGCGGGCCACAGCCAACACTCAGCAGCAGCAGACCTTGCCTCGATACCCTCCTCGTGAAGTACCACCACGATTTCGACACCAGGAACAGAAACAGCTTCTGAAACGAGGTCAGCAGTTACCAGTGATAGCTGCAAACCTGGGATCTACTCCTAAAGTGTTAAACGGCCAGTCAGGAGGCAGCGCTGTCACAAACCAACAACCAGTGACCAACGGAGAAGTGCCGAACAGCAGCAAAAAACAGCCAGGTGAGAGGGAGGTACCTTGTTTCCCCTTACTTAAAATGCAATAGATGAAATTCCGTTACCAGTGCAATATTGGAGCTAAAGCACGATGAGGTCATTTCCTGTGGCGTAGCTTTCAGCCATCGTTGTGCAAGGTTCATACTGACACTCAGGACATCCTAGATGCTCGTTGTGCCAGTGGTGTACGTAGACATGTGTCTGGTTTTGAGCAGATGTTGAAACCAAGGTGACCACCGCTTTATGTTCTGAATTTCTGATCTTTATCCTAGTCATTGATCCAAACATGGCCATGGTATGAAGCATCTTTTTCTATCCAGTTTTAATACACAGATCTCAGAGGATGAGGCTTTCAGACAGTTCCCGGAGCATTCTGAACAGCTTCTCAAGACTTCTTTGTTTTGTTTCTTCATATCCACAGATATAGATAGGGTACAACTTGTTTAGAATATCAGAATTGCTTTTTGCTGTTAGGTTAGAGTTTTCCCTTGTTCATCTACCTGAAGCTTGGTTGTCTTACAAAATGGATTGATCTTTACCTGTAGTACTAACACTATTTAAGTGTAGTTATCCTTTGTTAATTTGGCTTGTTATGCATTCTCTTCAAATAGCCTCTTAAGAGTAGTAACCTTGCCTGCTACATGAGCATAGTGTGCTGTTCAGTGAAGGTACTAGTGTGCAGTTCAGCAAATTTTTGGGAACAATAAGGGCAGTCTATTTTTGACCAGGTAAAAAGTAACTTTATTTTAGGGTTCTAGATTTTCAAAGGGATTTGGTGTTAATGCATGCTAACACTTAATATGTTGGACAGAAACTTTCTTACCATTGTGCTGTATTTATTTTTTGACATGCACATAGCAGCAATGGTGTAACTTGTTCCCACAGATAGCTTCTTCTGAAACTTTACTGAATTCCCAGTGTTGCTCAGTGTTTATACACTACAACGATCCAACTCCTAGCCCCTTCAGTTACAAAGAAGGTTTCTGGAAAATAGCCTTGATATTTCAAGTTTTAGTTAAATTTTGAGTTATTCTGGTTACTGAATCTTGGAGAATCAGTATTTAAAAGGAAAGTAAACAGTCAAAGCATTGGAAGCAGTTTATCCATGTGCCCCTCGAGGAATGTTTGTGATATTGCTTTCCAGTCTTATTTTTGTAACATACTGATAGAACTCTTTACCATTCCAAGAAGGGATTTTTAATCAGTTAATTTATTTTTTTACTTCACCTGTGTAGTTTTGTTCCTGTCTATACTCAGGTTTAGAGTAACCTTTCATATACTTGCTTCTAAGATGAAACATTTTCTCCAATATATATCCTCTACTGCTCAAATTGTGTGGCAGCGAGTAGCAATCTAAATAAAACTTCACATGTAAACTAATGTAAGAAGTATTACTCTTCATACAATTAAACCTCTTAATGGTATCCAGAGGATCTATTGAGTGTACTGTCCTTCATTTCACTTCTTTTGTGAACACCAGCCCATTGTGTAATTCGTTGGGTTCCCATTTGGTATTGCATTCTTCTCGATTTTGCAGCGGTGTGGCTGGACAGCCTTTAGGCTGGGAGATGTCACCGTGTCCCCACACGGTGCTGCCACAGTGCTGTGCTGAGTGTCCAGGGCAGCTGCTTTGGGAGTAGTTCTGCAGGTTGAATAATATATTCATTATTAAATCATATGTCTGCACATCCAGCTAGTAACCAAAAGGTTCTGAGAGCCTTTAAGGGAGAGAAAGGTTGGCCGAGTCACTTTCCAATTCTAAGAAAATGTTTGTAGTGTCTGTAGCATCCTGTCAGGTCCTTGTTAGCTGTTTGCTGTGCTCGGGACGTTCCCATGTGTCCGAGGCAGAAATGACAAGTGGCGCTGGGCAGCCAGGCTCTCGTTTCTCGCTGCTGTGTGGCTGTGTGCTTCAAACATCTCTTTCCACTGGTATAACCAGCAGCAGTGCCTGGTTTGGATCTTTTGTCATGTCCTTTGAGAAATGTAGGTAAGATGAGAATGAAAAGGAAAATTATTTTTAAGTGCTAGACTGTTGTAATGGTTTCCAAACCTCGTCGAATGGCTTGCCTGTGAGGTAGTGTGGAGGTGGCCACAGTCCTGCAGCACACAAGAGTGACTCTGTGTCTTTTGACACCTTTGGGTCTGAAAGGAAATGCTACTCCTTTGCCTGTCTCAGTCCTACTCTCCCTCGTTCCTCTTTTAGCCCCCAACAGCAACTTCTAGGTACTCTCCTTGTTGTTATCTCTGAAATTAAAGATCTCATGACATTTGACGT